AGAACCATCCTTTTAACAGGGCTTGCAGTAAGAAAGCCAGAGGAGGAACCACGCTCCTGCCTCTTGCAGCATGCATACTCTTGCTGACTTCTACCCCTGCTAGAGAAGGGGCACAGGGTACAAGACTACTTTCCTGCTTTCCCTGAGAGCACAGGGGTATAACTAGGAGAAATGGAAGGGAATCAAGAGAACAAGCCCCACCCCAAAAAGTAAGTCCTGATGGGTCCATGGTAAGAAACAGGAGAAAGAAATCCTTGCTTTCCAAAAACAATTTGAAAATCTCTTAAGGTCCAAAAATGGAACACTTCCCCCTCCACTGAAGGAGGTCTTTATACTCCCTATTAAAAGGATGGAGAAGTTCCAGAACTGTGTTTGATCCACTCTGGGCATGTCTACACATGCAATTAATGCACCTGAATTTTCTGTGCAGAAAATTCAGTTTCATTAAAACACTCCTGGGCACACATCTGAACGTGTGCCTGTCAGGAGCAAATTTGCTCCTGACGGGAGTTCAGTCTAGGGCTGCTCCTGCCCTGCTCTGCCTCCCTGCAGCAGCCAGGGGGAGTTCCAGGCTCCCCTGAGTGCCAGCCCCAGACTGGCAGGAGGCACTGGGGCTGATTCCAATCTCCATGGAGCAGAGAGAGCTGTCCCAGCTCTGGGGGCAGCTTCCTCCTAGTTACACAGAGATCAGGACCAATCCCAACCTCTGTGCAGCTGGAAGGCAGCTGCTCCCAGAGTTGGGACAGCTCTCCCCGCCCCACAGAGGTTGGGGCTGGCCCAATCATCACACAGGTGGAAGGGAGCTGCCCTGCTGCCCGAACAGCTCCCCTCCCCCCACACAGATCAGGGCTTAGCCAGGCCAACCCTGCTGCCTGGGCTGACCAGGAGCAAGTTGCTCCCAGTCAGGGTCTACACGTGCACTTTGGCATATTAGCTAATGTGCCATTTTTCTAGTATCTTTATGTATTGGTACTAGCAAATAGTGCATTAGAGTAATTTAATGCACAGTAATTGACAAGCATGTGTGTAGGTGGTGACACTTTACTGAGAATTAGATTGATATGCTTTGAAAGCTGCCTTAAAAAAACAAACAAACAACTTAAATGTCCTTTACGAGGTAAGATAATACAAAATTATTTACTTGCCTCTTAAAAGCTCTTTCTAGAGTTTACAATTCTGCCTCAGCCCTTTTAAGTCATTATGAAAAGGAAAAGTTATAGTTTACCTCTAATGAAGAAAACACAGTAAAAATACCACACAATGTTAGCTCCTAAATCTTGAAGATATCAGTGATAAAAACGGTCTTGAAAAATAAAATCAAGAGCTGATATTCAGACACGGAGAATTAATCCTGTGTTCCACAACTGCAATATGTTTAGTTGTGTTGTTCACGTTTGGCTTTGAGGCTGCTTACTATAAAGTACATGAAAAAGTGAATTACTACAGTTCAATTGTGCTATGCCTATTAATACTAGCTCCACTTGATGTTAAATCTGTGCCACATGGCCAAACACTCCCCACTGCTCTAACAAGTGGTGATGAGCTACCCCAAGTTTTTACCTGATATGGAGTTGATACTGTAACTGATTTTTCTGGGGTTAAATGTAAACATGTGAACCACCTATGAAAGGCTAAGTAGAATATTTATAAAAATGCCTTAGATCCAATTCACAAAACACTGATTTTGGTTCTTGTGTGTGTTAAAAAGCAGTTTTTAAACAGTCATGGCAAGTAATTTTTTATTTTTAACAGATGTTTGAAACTAATCTGCGATTTATAAGGTTTTCTTTTGACCACTATTATGAAGTGCTCTGAGGGGCCAGCCACAGGACACTCAACAGAAAAGAATATGCTTAGTTTGTGCGATTTAGAGGAAAGAAAGGACAGAGCTTCAAACTAAGTTTTATTCTGTACCATTGTTTAGCATTCAAATCTGTATTTACATCGCCTACAGCACTTTCCTGCCGATGATAGATATCATGTACACTGTTGTTGAGCAGTTACAGACAGAGGTTCAATTGTTAGAGGAGTCAGCGAATGGAATTCCTCAATTACTGCTTTAAGTACTTGTCTGATGGAAATAAGGCAAGACAAGGGAGGGGCAATAAAAAAAGCTGCCTATTGGCTTTAAGATTGATTTTCTGTGTTAAATGCACACCAAGGACATAGAGGCCACATCAGTCACAGCTGAAGGGTGGTACAGTTGATTAGGGCACTCAGCAAGACCCAGATTCAATTCCATGTTTTGCCAGAGACTTCCTGTGCAACCAGTATAGCTTCTCTGTATCTTCTGTCTCAAGGATGGGCATAGCTACACGAGATGCTAACTACACAGTAGCCAAAAAATACTAAGCAGTAGCATGTCACAGCATGGAAAGTGCTAATAAGCTACTGCACAGTATTATTAGGCTACTGGCTGCACAGCAGCATCACCTAAAAGACATTCGCTGGTGCTACTGCACAGTAACTCCAGTTATTGTGCATTAATTTAGTACTTGCTAATACAAGTACTAAGTAAATGTGCAGTAACAACTGCACAGTAGCATCTCATGCAGACACACCCAATGTGAGGAAGTTAAAGAAAGAGCATAAGGATAGTCAGCTACTATGTGGACACAGAGATTTTTCAGAGGCAGAAAAGGTAGTTAAGGCTTCTGGCTCTGGAAAGTCCTATCTAGCGGAAGGCAAAAGACAGAAACACTGGGGGAACATGCACACATTCTACACGGGACTGTGAGAACTCTGTGAAAAGCTAAAAAAAGCTTCCAATTAATAGCAGTTTCTGAAGTCTTATAAATAGCAGTCAGCCACAAAGCTAAAAGTAACAATCACCAAGAAAAAAGGCTAAATATTGTGTCATAATAAATACAAACAAATACTCACCTCGATAATCAAATGTGACTACATGGTAACCAAGGAAACTTAACACCTACAGAAGAGAAAAATGGAATTTAAAACAGCTATACAAATTGTCATATTGAATGAAATAGTTTGAATGTTTGTAAAAGTTGCCCATTAGCCAGTTTCAGGAAGAAGATAAGATTTATCTCCTTATCTAGCTCATTGTTTTGGGACTACGTGCAAAAAAGGTCCAGGCTTCTGAATTTTATCTTTAGAAGTCTTTTACAAAGAGAGCAAATATCCTGAGTTCCGAGACATCAAACCCTAAGGCCTTTTAACAAGATTGGTAAGAAAAGGGCATTTGCAGTGATATGGAAGTCTCCCCAAGAGTAATTTAAAATGCTCAACAAAGGCAAAAGAATCTGTTGAGTAAGATCCGAGCCCAAATTTGGGAGTAATGACAGGTTGAGTAGGAGGAGCCCACTGACGGCAGCTCACTCAACAAAAACTGTAACTTACCGTCCCAATTTGGAGGTGACTTCACTTGCAGAACAATGAAGGAAGAATCGCAAGTGTAGGCCGGAACAGACTGATCACCTGATCCAACCTCTCCGTGAACACGAATTTCTTAGTTCACGTTGAAGCTGCAGAGCGCCCGAAAGGGACTGAAGGAAGGGGACTTAGTCCTATCACTGCTGAGCCCAGCTCATTGAATCGTATTGCTGAGGCCAGCCTATTGAATTGTATTGCTGAGCCCAGCTCATTGAATCGTACTGCTGAGGCCAGCCTATTGAATTGTATTGCTGAGGCGAGCCCATTGAACCGTACTACTGAGGCCAACCCATTAAATTGTACTACTGAGGAATGAAACCATATTTTGGTATTTGGCTTCTCAGAATTCTAGGATTGTAAGTATATTATGAAAATAATACTATTGATTCAAATTTAACTTTTAGTTGTAATTGTAGCTGTTTTTGTAACACTAATTCTTATAGCATTGTTTGGGAAGGAAGTGCATTCGGAGCATTGTTTCTGATATATGTAATTATTGTGTTTTTAATGTTTGTGGTGTTTCTTAAAGCTAAGCAGTGTTATATACGTAGTAAAGAGTTTTAAAATAAAATTGTGTTGTATAAATTAAGTGTGTAATCATTGTGAAATCGTGCAATCAGCTAACTACTCCCCCAGCCAGTGCATCAAAACGAATCAGTAAATTGTGTGGGATTTTCTCTATTCCATAACCCACTAGAGACACAAATTGTCTCTGAGTAGTCGTACTGCTTAGATCTAAGACACGAGGCACTTCATTCCACAGCATACTTTTTAATTTCTAGTATCAACTCAGTGTTGCAATGAGATACATAGATCCAAAAGCTGGTTCAAGCAAGAGGCTTTCATACACCCAGTTTTATGCAATTGCTATTTTTCCTGGTTCTCTCTGAGCCCTTGCAGCTAAGAGGTAGGACAGTCCAGGGGCTGGGAGGCTGGGCTGAAATGCGATAACTACAGCTTGTTTGGTCACAGCCTGCAAGTATAACTTTGGGCACAACACTCCCTATCTCTAAACTGGGGAGATCACTGGCCTGTCTCACGGGGGTTTTGAGGGTAAACATTAGGGGTATGCGAAGCTTCAGTCGCCGATTCGATTCAGAGAAGATTCAGCCTAAGTTGGTGACTGAATCATCAAATCCAAGTCGAATCAGGAGACCCAATAAAAGCTCTGAATCAATTTGAAGCATCTAAATCGATTTGGAAAAGATTCAGTGATTCGGAAGGCGGTCTTGTGGGGAAACAGAAAAAGGGAGGAGGGGGAAAAGACTGCCCTGTTATTGACATCTGTAGCTGCCCAGTGACAGTGATCTTTCCCTGAGTTCCCTTCCAATCACAGTGCTCTGAGGGTGGGATGTAGAAACAGCATATAAGGCTCTATCTGAAGCCTCTGCCTTTTTGTGAGCTGTCTGTCTGGAAGCAACAGTGTGTGAAAAGGTACTGGCTGCAGTGGTTGGCTTCCTAGTCAGTCTCTTGGCTAGTCTCTCTTCTTGGAAAGGATTGGATGTGGGCACGCTACAAGGGAGGAATAGGCTGCAATCAGACCTAGACAGGCTACAGGGGGGAGCAGATGAGAACAGGATGGGTTTCAACACTGACAAGTGCAAGGTGCTGCACCTGGGGAGGAAGAACCAGCAGCATACCTACAGGCTGGGGAACTCCCTTCTCGTCAGTGCAGAGGCAGAAAAGGATCTTGGAGTCATTATTGATGCCAAAATGAACATGGGCTGGCAGTGTGGGGACGCAGTCAGGAAGGCCAACCACACCTTGTCATGCATCCACAGATGCATCTCAAGCAGGTCCAAGGAGGTGATCCTCCCCCTCTATGCGGCACTGGTCAGGCCGCAGTTGGAGTACTGTGTCCAGTTCTGGGTGCCGCACTTCAGGGTGGATGTGGACAACTTGAAGCAGGTCCAGAGGAGGGCCACTCGCATGGTCAGGGGGCAGCAGGACGGCCTTACGAAGAGAGGCTAAGGGACCTGAACCTGTTCAGCCTCCACAAGAGAAGGCTGAGGGGGGATCTAGTGGCTGTGTACAAACTGGTCGGGGGGACCAGCAGGCATTGGGGGAGTCCCTGTTCCCCCGAGCACTACCAGGAGTGACTAGAAATAACGGTCACAAGCTGGCAGAGGGCAGATTTAGACTAGACATCAGGAGGCGCTACTTCACTGTCAGGGTGGCTAGGAT